AGACGAATGATAGCACTAAACATAAAAGCGTCAAGGGAGTGTGCGCACAGGTGCTGTGTGAGGGGGGAACAGTGAAGGTGAAGTACCTCGGCAGCAGTGATTTTCATTCTTGCCCCGAGGACACTCAAATCTCAGTGACGCTGAATGGTTTTGAGCAAGATGGAAAGATCAAGTGCCCGAAGTACGGCGAGGTGTGCACCATTGCCGGCAACGGCAGCAGCCTTGTCGTTCCGAGAGCGTTGGAGGATGATAAGCGAGAGGAGCAAGAGGAGAAAAGAGAAGAGTCCGTGGCTGCTCCGGCGTTGTCTCCCGGAGCTGAAGCTCGTACAAAGGCGTCCCCTGCCGATTTGCCCGCGGCGGAGCACTCGTCTGAAGAGGGACCCATTGAAGAAGCGTCCACTGCAGAGGCGTCTCCTCCAGGTAAAAACTCTGAAGCTCGAGTAGTGGAAGCGGCATCGAAGCAGCCTCAACAAGAAAGTGAAGCAGAAGAAATGACAGCGGTGGAGGCATCTGCCACTACACAGCAAGTGCCGGCGAATTCATCGCAGGGAAGTGTGGGGTGGGCGACGGTTTCGAACATCCCTGCCGTTGGAGAAACAACGGGTGATGGTGGCACTGTGTGTGAGAGCAGGGCGTTGCCGTTGCTCTTCCTGCTGTTGGGACTGTGGGGGTTTGCCGCTCTGTGAGGAGTGACCGGATGCCGCGTGGGACAATTGCGACCTCCCCTGCACAGAATTAGTTCCCCGGGAAAAAATTTCTCTGACATTTTTTTGGTGTTTTTTGTGCGTTTTTTCATTTTTCAATGTTTTTTTTTCCCCTTTATTTTATTCCACTTTCGTTTTTCATGTCTCACTCCCCATTCTTTTTTTTTTCTTTTTTTGGGCCAATCACTATGGACGTTTTCTTTTCTACTCTTCCCTCTTTCTAATTGTTTCTTCTGCACTCCTCCTGCGAGGGGTGCCGTGTGTTTCCCGTCCAACTGCTCCACTCGCACACCCACCGACACGCTCATGACGACGGCCCTGTGCGCCTCGCCTGCTGCACGCATGAGGAGGGGCCGCGACGAACGGCGCGCTGAGGGAGCCGTGACGTGTGGGCGTGCGACGAGGGCCTGTGGGGCGGAGCACACATTTCTTCCCTCTTGTTTTGTTTTCTTTGCGGCCAGGGCGGGCAGACACCCGCAGCGCCACACACACAGCCACACCCTGCCGCCGTGCTTTTAATGGGTTTTGTTTCGTGAGCATTTCTTTTCCCCTCTGATGATTTTTCTTCTTTTGCTGCGCACACTCTCCCGATGGAGTGACGTGACTCCCGTCATCTTTTTTCTTGCTTCTCTCAGTCCCCACACACACGAGTGACTGTGCTCTGCGGGCCGCACTTACACGCCGATGGAAGGGCTGAGGGGAGCAGCAACACGCGGATGAACCCATGAAATGCAATTGATGTGCGAACATATATGGAGGCCAGACGGTTGAAAGACATGTAACTATTTAACTTTCTTTTCGGGCAATGTATACACAGAGAGTTTGGTGTGGCCACACGGCAGCCAGGGGATTTTTATTATTATTTTTAAATTTTGGTGAGAAAGTGATGGACGATTTTTTAAATATAACTATTTTGTGCGATGTAGTTTATATGAGATGAGGGGGAACGTTTTTTTGTTTTAA